GTAGTTAGATCGTATGGTGGTAAAATATAAATAACAGAAAGAGTTCAAAGAGATAGCTAGAACATAAAATAGATATCAAATATAGAAATATATAGATTATATAGTAGTAATTAGATTGCATATTTAGATTATAGTGTTTATTAAATTATATTATTTAGATCATATAGTGATGCTCAGATTATGTAGTGCTATTCAGACTTCATAGAGATATCTATATTATATAATGATATTCAGATTATATAGTGGTATCTAGATTATATAGTAATACCTAGGGGTTAGTAAAATTATGGGGGAGACAACTCAATTGTTACACAAGTTTAATTGTAGCACAAATTTTGTTATTTATATATAAATCATATGAATTAATATGTATCGTGTTTGATCGGTCAAAGTCTTAATTATAAATTTTTTTGAAATAACCTGTTTATCAGGATACCATTTTTATTTCGAAACTTGAAATAGACGAATGTAAGTAAATAATTATAAAAAAACTATATAGCTGTTCTTTTTATCGTTAAAAGCTGAATCATATACTCATGCTCAATTATTTTAAGATGAAAGAAATAAAGGTAAGATGTTGCACACGACTTGAAGCCTATAAGCATTTGAAAATAGCACATACCTAATATAAACTGATTCAAACCGAAATCTTGAATCTTATATCTTGATTATTCAGAAGCCAAACCAACAATGTTGAATTAGAATTGAAATGAATAAATATAAGGATTCAGAGTGTTTTAAAATAAGTAATTAGGAAATTGGAGTTGAAATAGATAAATTAGGATTAGAAATGTAATCTTGGAAATTGTTTTCAACACATAATTGGAATTCAAATGGATGAACATAAAGCGTCTATTTATCATAAAAATCTGCTGATATAGGGTATACTCTATGAATAAATAATATTTGTTATCATTATTGAAATGAAATAAGATTTGAAAGTATAAATATTATAATATTGTAATTGAGATTCAGGGTTTTGATAAGAATCCATTTATATTAGGTACACATTATTTGAGAAGCTCATTATTTTAAATATAATATTTAGATAATCAACCTTTATCTTAGCATATCAATATGTACGAACACTGCACAATATACTAAATTTTTACGCTGCATTTTTAGAGAAATAGTATTTTGTCTGAAAAGGTAATGAATGAACCAACGACAAAACGTTCAAAGCATAGTGAAGATTCGAAAGACAAAGCCTTGCAACAACTGTACTGGCTCCATCCTGATCTTAATGGCCAAAGTGTGTAGTTTTGCCCGACACTTAAAAAGTCTGCAGAAGGCTGTATTTTATATGAAAAATCAGAAAAGCACGCATATGTATATAATATAATTATGCAAAAGCGATTTTCTTCTTTTTCAGCATGGATAAAGACACTCAGTAGCAAACGTTTTTTTAAGGGCAAAAAATCAGCCTTAGCCACTATTTTTTTGAAGCCCAATTGCAATGAAACAAATATTGGGCAAATATTAAAAGGAAAAGATTATACACCTTATTTTAAAAATTTTGAGATCGTTACATTACTCTCTATCAAAGATATTTTAAAAACAATGATATATGATGATGTGGAATTGACAGGTATAAATTTAACGGAAGGGGAAGGATTCTTGTACCTTGTTTTCTTTGAAACAAATATGAAAAATGAACTATATATCAAGAAAGCATCTTATAGATGCCGGGAACCTATTAAGTGCACTATTTTTGTTAATGGTTTGGAAGTAAGAGACAATTTTTTAGAAGAAAACGATATTAGGCATAAAATCTTGATGATTGATGAAGTTCATTCGATTGTGCGATTTTTTAAAAAATCGCATGCTTGTATAGGACAATATACCAAAGGCAAGTATGTTAGTGTATTTAAATAATAATATTCTTTATAATAACATTATTTATAATATATCTAGGATTTGAACAAGCAACTTATTTACAAGGTGACCACATGTACTCGAATTTCATAGGCCCAGTAAATGAACATGAGATAATTGCTAATTTAGAAAATAAAGGACTTGATAATGAAGCTTATCGCAGGATTGACTGTACTCTTCTTGCCTTAGCTGGCAACATATGTGCCAATTGTAAGACATTACGTAACACATTATATTAAATTGAAAACCGATATAAAAATGGCATTCAATCCGTTAAGACATCGCACGCTTCTAGAGAATTTCTAGCTAAAATTGTTCAAAAAGCTCAAAAAGTATTTATTTTTAGTTAATATGAATTTAATAAATAATAATTATTTTTATTATTAAATAAAATCATTACCTCAGACAATCCGAATACAGAAAGAGTTAGTTGAAAGTCTTCGTAACCGTTTAAAACTAAAATTTGAAGCAGAAGAAGAACAAGTATCAGAGCCATTAATAAGCATTGTTCACAATGTTGTTGATGAAGTTCTAAACGAAAAACATGAAAATATATCAAATGTCATTTTAAAAGAACTTGTCCATGTGCAAAGTAAAAAACCAAAAGGAGTACGATATCATCCTATGTAAGTAAAAATAAGAATGATAATCTCCAAGAAAAAATCTTAATAATTGTATTATTGCAGGTTTATTCGGTGAGCAATTTCAATTTACAGTAGAAGCCCTTCTGCATACAAGCAATGAAGTCGGTCATTCAGATGCCATCATTATCAACACTCAAAAGCTACATTAATGAAACTGAACAACATACAGGTTGGCAAGATAAAGTAGTAAAGAGAATAGTGGCTAATATGGAGGCCAATAATGTTTGGGGCTATGCACGCCTTGGTTTCTTTTCGCATGATTTATTTAAAATTCAAAAAGGTTAGAAGAGTAAAAAAAAAAAAAAAAAGTCATTATGAAAAATTTATTATTAGATTTAATTGTTTTTTTAATTATAGGACTTCTTTGGAGTCAACGTGACAATAGATACGTCGGATATGTTGACTTTGACAATGAGAATGCTGAATTTGAAGCATTTGGTGAACAATGTTTCTACAAAATTCAAGGCTCAGAATGTACGAATAATCATATTAAGCATAAAGAAGCAGCAGAAAAAAAAGACCAGGAGCGGACTTTAGCAACCCAAATTCATCAAATCGTATGGCATTCAGTATCCCACTCCTTTAATTTTCCAATAGCTTATTTTGGTGTTGAAACAATAAGTGTTCATACCCTTAATACAATTCTTTTTAACCTGGCTGCTAAGCTTGAATGTGTTGCAATTCATACATGTGGTTCTGTATGTGATGAAGCAGGTGAAAACTGAAGACACATTAAGAGCTTTGATTGGTTTGCAACAACTTGGAAGGTGAATGATGAAGTAGAAGTTCAATTGTCAAACAAGCCAGGGCAAAAGAATTATTAACCAGCTAGAATAATTTCTTTTAACTTAGAACGTATCAAATTTTTAGTTCAGCTATCAGATGTCTCACCAATTTATAGTGTTTCACGTTCAGCCTTACGATTCCAATGCCAAAAAAAATTATTTGGAATGTTGGTGATCAATATAAAGTTCGAAATACACATAGTAATAAATGGTATCCTGGTAAAGTGCTTACTGAAATCTCAGTAGATAATTATTTGGATATCGAAGTTATGATTGAAACTACTGAAAAAGTCGAATTGTATAAATGGAGGTCTCTACTTCATGATATTCGTCCGGCATATGATGAAAATGAACATTGTGTATCACACATTGCTATTAATCCTGTAACTGGTAATAAATGGTTTTTCCTAAACGATCCAACCCATGTTTTTAAAAAGTTGAGAAATAATGTTTCTAAAAGTCATACTAGTAATGATGGAACAAAAATGTAAGAGAAATAATGTTTGACGGATGGGAAATCAGCTGGCGACATTTTCAAGGAGTATATCACCATACAGCCAAACATGAGATAGCAAAAGCTACTAAATTGACTAAATGACATATTCGGCTTACCCCTTGGAGCAAAATGAGAGTGGACCTTGCGAAACATACACTGTCATTCGATGTCAAAAAAGCAATAGCAAATATTCCAGAGTTAAATCACATTTCCCAAGGCACTCAGGTTTGTAGTTTTTTTTTTTGATTTAAGCTAGGATAGTTTTTTTTTTTTTTTTATTGATTTATTTATTTATTTAAACCTCCTGACGTGATCGTCAGAGAACGTCGAATGACGTTATTTATTAAAGGAAGGATAGTATTTAGTACTTTAAGTTAAAATTTTTTTTGGATAGTCTTTTTTCTTTCAATTTAGAAAAATTTGTATTCAAACTTAGAACTTTTGAGTTAAAAGTGGCCTAGTAGTTTTAAAACTCAATATTATTTATTTGTCATTATCTAAAATTAACACACTGTTGCATATCACTAGTTATTTATTCACTATGCACGTATGTATCGAGATATTACACATAGTCGAATATGTATTTCTTCTCTTGAAGATCCACGTTTGAACACCTTGAAGGAAATAAAACAATGGTTCATTCAAGGTAATAAACAAAAGAAAGATTCAAGTCAATGGTTTTCCACGCAATACCAGTTTGATTTGATTTTATCAATAAATAGATTTCTTGAAATCGTAGAATATGTACTTACTAATTGGCCAGGTGCTATAATTCAACCAAGAAGACTATCTCAGGATATGCTTGAAGGTTTATTCGGATCAATTAGAGAAATGGCTGGTGACTCTTCCACACATACGGTTCAATCCTACGGATATGCAATGAACAAGTTAATAATTACAATGCAAATGACATCAGAAATACAAAGCTTGAATTATGGTTTAGCTAATGGTTCAGGCTGTGTGCTTGCTGATTTAAAACGAAGGTAATTTTTGCTTATGCAAATTTATCAATAAGTTTTAAAATAACTTTTTTTTTCTAGAGATTATCGAACAACTGTAAAACCTAACGAGCAGAATTTAGAAGCATATAATCGCTATAAAATCCAAATTGAAATGCTCTCTACTTTCAGCTACCAAATATTTCAAGAACTTCTTAATGATGATCTGGTAATAGAACGAATGCAGCTGCCGCTATCTTCAAGTAATGAAAGTATTAGAATAGAAAATAAAACTATTAATTGCTTGCAGCTTGAAAGAGTACGATTAATTGAATAGTTGTTATATAAGGATGGCATAGAGAACCTTTTGGTAACTTGGTCTAAAAATATTCATCAAATGGCATTAGATTCAGTTCCACAAAAAAAATATATCTATTGGCTTACAATATGGTCAACAAATCTGGAAAGTCGATTAAATAATTACAAGTGTGCGGGTGATTGGTTTAACGACTTTCAATGGTTGGCCCCGGATGATATTAAAGTAGAAACCCAACGATTGATAGCCTATATATTACTTGAAAAAATTATAAGAATCACATTTAGACAAGTACACAACAGACAGTATCATGATCAACTTTTTATGAATCATACTGATTCATAGATTATACCTGGAAAAATTATTGACCTGGAACCTGCCGAGGTATCAAAATTTCAGTATATTATCAGATGGACTATCTACAAATTAACAAAAAGTGATAGATTAACATTAGCACATGAAGAATTTGCAAAAATCAAATCATGTTTAAATGTTCTTAGCTCTGAGCAAGTAGAATACATATGTGATACTCGTTCAAAGATGACAATAGTTATTCCAGGAGCTGATTTTATTCAATTCATGTATTATTTAGAGTCACTCATTTTTCAGCTATTTGAAAAACACATAGAGTATGGGCCAGATATTCTAATTTACATCAATAATAATCTTGTAAGCAATCGACCTTTAAAGAAGCAGTTTAATGACCTTTTGCAAATAGCATACGAATTTTATTGTAATGCTGAATATAAAAATAAAGAATTATTTCCAGAATTCATACATAACAGTATTCAATTATCACAAGAAGCTGAAGACTATCTATTGGTGCGTTTGATTAAAATTTACATGTGAAGCAGGCAACGGTCCTGGCAACAATTTAAGAAATATATTCTAGAAAAAGGTTCATCTTGTTTACGAGAAAATGTCAAGGCAATGGGTGTAAATTTAAAAAATAATGCAAAAAAAGATGATCAACCAAAAACGAAACTTGTTATATTTAAGAAAAGGATGCTACCAGAAAATCTTGAGTTAGCACTTGGTCAGCTTAAGATTTGGGCTTGAGATAACGGTGCTAAAAGTGCATTCAAGAAGGCATTCACGTTATCTGACCTAACGATTCTTGTTCAAGTGTTTCAAAATAAACCATTAAAGATAAAAGAAAAAAAAAATTCAGTTCTTATTAATCTACTTTTTAATTATTTGAATAATGGCTCTGAGTTTAACGAAGAAACAAAAAAGAAAGGTCGACTTTTTACTTGAAATAATCAAGTGTTACTCATAATTCGCATGTAAGCTTTACACATTATTAGAAGAAAAATATGTATATAGAATTTTTGCCATAAGAATACCCACAGATACTATGTAAATTAATGTGTCGGAGGGTCATTTTTATAGCAAATACCTATATATATGCGTAGTTGGTTTTATATAATGATAATTTTGATTAATTTACATTTAGGAAGCTGGATCAGAAATAACTGAAGATGGCAATTAAAATGGACAGTGTAATATTGGGTATTTGGTATTTGAAATCCACTAATATAATCTTGGAGTTTGTTACGACGAAAGTATAGGTTAAAAGGCAATGATTCACTTGGACAATGTAACCTTGGAAAGACATAGCTAATTTTGATAAACAAAATGTTATTATGCTATTGAAATAATGGTTTCAAAAAGTAATAAATTCGAATAAGCAAAATAAGAAAGTATAATAATTTCAGAGTTTGTTACTTGACTTTAAAACTTAGTATGCTCACTATGTTATAGCAACTTTGCTTTTTATTTTAAATTATAAAAAATTTATTTTAAAAAAAAATTAACCAGGAATTTTTCGATACAAATAAAATTTTTTTTTGAATCTACGAAGCTGACCCATCTAATTATAAAAATCCTGAGAAATTATCGAATGTGCTTATATTTTTAACTTCATTCACTATATTTACATAAAAATCGATACAGTATATTTATATCGCACGCATTAAGGCATCTCTCACCAATATACAAAGTATAGTTTGCTAAATATTTAAAATAAATATACTGTACAAGCGCGAAATAACGCTCACCTGTGCGTTATTTCGAAATAAGTATTAATTGTCTGAACCGTACCTTTAAATCACAATAAGATTTGAGCAAATGCTCCAGAACTAGATTTGGTATTAAGTAAACCTCAATGTGAATAGAGCCCGAAAGTAGGTTTACTTAGTATCAGACCTAGTTCCAAAGCAATTTTTGCTTCTTTACTTTTATGTAGGGTATATTTAGATGCACTTTAATTCGAGACGCCTATGGGTGCAAATTTGAGACCACATATTCTATTTTAGGGGTTTCTGATTTTTGAAATAATGCCCACGAGCATTATTTTGCGCTTATACAGTATGTAGAATTAAATAATATTAGAATTTAAGACTTAATGATTTCAATTATTTTTAGAAAGCAAAATTTAGTCTCTGTGAATACGAAAATGCACACAATCTCTATATAAACCTACCAAATGATGCCAATAGAATATGGCAATTACATGTCTCGAATCAGCAATCAGTTAATATTGTTGAAAGCTCGTTGGTATAGTAGTGCGAATATTTTTATTATAAATCTACTTGATCATTACACAGAATTATGCAAGGTTATACATGACATTTTTATTGGCATATATTTATTATAAGTTGTTCCCCCGTAATTTTACTAACCCTAGGTAATACTATAATTTAACTTAAGTGGGATACCACCTGTAATATAATTATATTACAGGTAGTATCCCACTAAGATCAATATACTTACAGATATATAATATATATTATATCGGATTGGCTAGAAGAAAATAGTATATGACCTATAAAAATAGATTGAATACCTTTCTGTAAATATTTATTCTCTTATTAGACCTAAAAAAATTAATGTCATATAATTTCACATCAACGAGATGTGGAAAGTCTATGGACATGTACAAGTCAAGTAATATTTATCTAATAGACACATACCAAAATAATACTTTTTTTATTAAAAAGTGATCCAGTAAAGCTTTTACACTAAGTTAACATCTTTAATCATTTTAATAAAGCTTGTTCTCCTGGCCTTTCTAGTACTAATAGGAATGAGATTATTAAAATCTAATCAGTAACCAGAGATAAGACCTTTTAAAATTTGGTCAACATTCTAAAGATTATAAAAATGTCATAAACTTCATGAGACTATATCTCTAGCTAGAGTTAATACCTCTATCCAGATTTATATATCTGGATATATACTATGTCATGTGATATAGCATGACATAATGCTTTTATATCCGGATATAAATAAATCCGGATTTAAATTTATATCCGGATTTATACTATAATAAAACCAGATTAATCCAGATATAAAAAATATATCCGGATTGAGGTATTAACTCTATCTCTAGCTTTACTGAGTTTATTGTAATAATTTTACCACTATTAAAACCAGAAAGTCCAAAAAAACAAGTTTTTTTAAGATGATAAAAGAGATTAACCTATTATAAAATCTCAGCCAAATTACTTTTTAATTTTAAAATAGAAAAACAAATAAGAAAAAGGTGACCTAGAATGGAAGATTTTCAAACTAAGTTAATCTTTTTTATACTCTAAGTAAATCTATTCTCTGGTTTTTTTAATACTAATGTGGTGAGATTATTAAAATTGACTTAGTGGAGACAGAGATATAGCCTCATGAAGTTTATATGATGTTTTTATATAATTTTTAGAATGTTGCCAAATTTCAAAAGCCATATCTCTAGCTCTACTAATCAGATTTTAATAATATTACTACTATAATAACTGGAAAGACAAGGAGTTTTATTAGAATAATAAAGAATGTTAACTTAGTAGAAAACCCTTAACAAATCGCTTCTTAAATCAAAAAAAAAATGATTATTTTGATACATGTCTATATATAAAATTTCACATAACTCATACATGTCCATAGACTTTCTAAACGAGATGCAAGGCCAGAATGCATGACAGGGTGTAACTAATTAATTAATATTGACTATATAAATAGATTTTAATGTTAGAGTTAGAATGAGAAAGGTTAAGAAAAAGATTGGATAAAAATTATGAACAGAATTTTTTCTTGCAAATCTTAATGTAGAAAAATTCTTTTTCAATTAACTATTACATATTTCTGAAGTGCCGATAAGAACAGTTATTCCTTTTGAATAGTGTCAATTCCAATAATAATTAATCTTTATAGCTCCCACATAATAATCTGATCTCATTCAATGTTGTTAACACCATTACCGCTATTTACAAACTTAGAAATTATCTGTTATAAATAAATTAACCTGACTTAAGAATATGAATTATCTGATATAAAATAGTTTTATTATATTACCTTAGCTAATTAGGGCTTCGAGATTTTTTGTATTATTTTCTATTATTATCTATTATTCTTTATGTTATCTATACTTAAGATATCATGATTGGTACATTTGTAGTTGTCACAAAATGGAAAAGAACTATATTCATACAATCGTTTTATTATGCCATACTTTAATTAAGTTGTATATACAAATTAGTTAATTCCATACTGAGAGGCTATAGATATACTAAGAGACCATGAATCACCTTTAAATAAGAAATGCTACTTATACAATGTTGAAATTTCTTATTATAGTAAAACCTAATTACGGGTATATTATAAAACAATATATACTTACAACTAGTCTTACCAAAATAAGAAACACCTCAACATTACATAAGATATTAAAAGGTCCAATTATTTTGCTAATACAATTATTTGTTATACTATGCCTAGTGATGGAAAAATGTATCTTTTTCTGATTATGCGCATGAATGCCTATAAAAAAAAGCAAGAACCCTATAAATTTTGATAGGAAAGTGCATTTTTCAGGAATCTGCACATGAATAAATATGCATGAATAGATACATATGAATACATATTGCTAAGTCCTAAGGCAGAGCACAAGACCCGGCTTTAGTCAAACTAACTAACAACTCTAATTATTTATATGATTTAAATTTAATATATTAAATCAAATATTGCAAAATATAGTTTCAGATTAACTTAAAATTTTACTTTTCTATTTCTGGTTTTGTGAAATGATGTCATACTGCTACCTTATTATCTTATTATATGATCAACCTGTTAAAGGTAGCAATTGATTCTAAAAAAGCATATATGTTATGCACAATAACTAAATAGAAAAAATAAGAGTTATTGAAACCCTTCATTTTTTTAGAAAATGTATATTAAATAGGACTAATAAGCAGAATAGGTAGAAGTGTGAATAAATTGAATAAGGGTTTTAATACCATATTTGTATAAAATCAATGGTTAATATTTTAAGCCACTTTTCTAAAACTAAATTGATAATTTATAAGTGATCCAAGATGAGACAATAGTAATCTGTATAAGACGAGCTTAACCAAACAGAGTTATATATATATCATATACAAATCTATATATATACATAATAGGTGAAGTTAAATCAGAATACAATCTATTTAGGTTCAGAGGCTAGTATTTGTATATACCATTTCACTTTTCAGATTTATTGGCTTGCTATGCAATTCTTTATAATAGAGTGTTACTTTAGCTAAGTATTTAGTTTTGTTAATTGAAATCTTCAAGATACCTTTACATTCAAATCTTTTCATTAATATCTCTTTACTTTAATTTGTTTGGATTTTTACATAGCTTTTTTTGTAAAATATCCTATTGAGAACACATATACTAGTAAGTAGTTAATTTATTACTATTATACTAATGATTATAAATCTAATTATATTCATTTACATTCTCAATTTGTTCGGCAATTTACTTGCTAGATCTTTATTTGAACTATTATAATTTCTAATATTTATTTTACAATAGAAATGAAAATCTAAAATTGATTGTGCATTTTCTAAAATCTCTACAACACTTTTACTTAAAAAATTTAATTTAATAATTTTTAACTTATTATTAAATAGAGTATCATCAGTTGTTATAAATCCTTTCTATTTATTAGAAGAATTTTGATAATAGCAATTGGAAAGAGCAGTTTTAACAGGAAAAGCAGCTACAAATATATATATTATGTAATT